CAGGTGGAAGGACCCCAGTTACCCGCCAGGGACCAGCCCACAAGCTCTTCCTTCACAAGTGAGAAAGGCTGGAAGAGTGCTCTCTCCCTCCATAAAGTAGGCTAATTGCGGCTTCCTTGCTAGCCTCCGCACTCACTCTGTGCCAAGCTCTGCTCCCACCCAGCTCCTCCTTAAGGCGGAGCCAAACCCCAGACTCCCTTGTCCCAGGAGCTGGTCCAGAAAGGCCTTAGAGTCAGCAAGAGGAGCTCTGTACCACAGCCTGGGGGACCCTGGCTGCCCAAGCTCCAGCTTCCTGGGTGAGTGGCCAGACCTCTCCTCTGTAGAGACCTGCCCCAGCTCAGCATAGAAAGGACAAGGGAGGGAAAGGACAGGTTAGTAGTGTCACTGAGGAATATGTAAATATACCACTATACCAATATAATGAGAATATACCAGTGCTGGAGGTAAGGTGTGAAAGAGAGCTTGCTCTGGCTGACCACTCCTTCGTCTGACACTGGGAGGAATTCTGAGTGTCACGTGCCTTAAGTTCAGATAAGCAATAAGCTCCTGGGATCCTGGGACCACACAACTGACACCTGGGCCTCTGCACTCCAACAGGTGCTGCTGGATTGGGAGAGTATGAGCAGGTGCAGGTGACTTTTCTTCACAAGGAGGTTTTGCAAGGTTTCTCCACTCTTCCCTTCTTTGGGAGGAGCAGTGCCTGGTGTGTCCAGCGATGGCCTCTCTTGTGCTTTGAGATTTATTATCAGAATTGCCAGGATGGGTTGGTCAATTCTTTGATTACTTATGGTAGCTTTTTCTGGCCAGTTTTCAAAGGGAAGGCAGGACATGTGGGATCCCACCTCTTTCTGTAGAAGGCCTATGTGTTGTCCCCCAGACACAGGTTCACCCCTCAACCTTTGAGCCCCCAAAAATGAGTCACCGTCAAGGGCAGGGTAACACTCATTCATTCTCTGCAAGCCTATACTTTCATATGTTTTAGCAACATTTCTCAAAATGAAGAACTCATGGATGCCCAAGCTATGCCTTCAGACCCCTAGGGGATGCCCAGGTAGTTAGAGAAATGCATTAAGTTAAATTATTTTCTTTCACTTGATCCATCAGCATGAACAGCACTGTAAACACAAAGAGAAACTCGGACCCTGAAGACGGATGGCACCACGTGGCTATAAGGTAGTCATCCCTATGTGACTCAGAAGGTACTGAGGCTGATTTTGATTTAAAAAAAAAAAATTATTTATTTATTTGGTTGCGCCGGGTCTTAGTTGCGGCACGTGGGATCCTCTTTGCTGCATGCAGGATCTTTGTTGCAGTGTGTGGGATCTTTAGTAGCGGCATGCGGGGTCTAGTTCCCTGACCAGGGATCAAACCTGGGCCTCCTGCATTGGGAGCGCAGAGTCTTAACTGCTGGACTACCAGGGAAGTCCCTGATTTTGATTTTTTTTTTTAAAGTTGTCAGAATGAAACAAAAATTTAAAAACTCCTTTTAGAACTCATGGACTTTAACCCACTCCAGCTCCCCCCTGCTCCCTCAGAACTTTCAGGGATTTCCAGATGCCATTTTGAGGAACAGGATTGTAGAAGAGTCTTTCCCCTATCAAGCAAGGCCTCCCTCTAAGGAAAGAGCAAGAGGTGGCCTGGTTTGAGCTGTGGCCCTATAGCAGGATCATACTAAACAAAGGAAACCCACTGACCACACAGTTCTGAGTTGGGAGGGCCTTGGAAACCCTTTCTTCAAAGACCATCTGATTCATGACTCTACTGTCAATATCCCATTCCATTCCTGGACAGTTCCTGCTAATGCAATGTCTTTGCAGCCAGAGTTGGCTGATCTAGAATTTTCACTGATTGGTTTTGCTCTTGACATCTGGGACCATGTTGAATTTTTTTTAAAAGCCCCCAGAATATTGGGGCAGAGGGTGCATAGGCCTATTTGAGCTCCTTTCTTTTTTTATATAAATGGATACAAGAAGTTCATTGGAGCAGCCAATGAATGTACTGATTTGCTTCTGAAAAATGTACAGATGGGTGAGATGGGAGTTTGGAGAAGTACAGATGGTGAAGTCTTTTCATTTGGATTTGTCACTGAGCAGAGACCTGGAGTTGCTGAGGGTGTCAAGACTCACAAATGCAAACACAGGGAAGAAGAGTGATAACAGACACATGGCAGGCACAGCCAGCAGGGAATGTGTTTCTGTAGGGTTCAGACAAAGAAAGACACAACCAGGGGTGGGGTAGAAACTTCAGCACAAGTCCCTGGTGTCCTCCCCTGGGGACAGAGCTGAGTGCTCAGGGACGGTGGAAGACTCAGTGATGTTTCCATATGAAACTGCTCCTGCCACCCCCACAACCCTTAAAGAATGGGTCCTGTCTCTGCCCTTGGGTTGCTGAGCCAGGCATTGCTCTCTGAAGTTTGCATGGGGCTTGAGCAAGTGAGTGTTTCAGTACTGTTGCTTCTTTTGAAATCGGTTTTCTTTAAGGTGCCACCTACACGTAGATATTGTAACTTTGCTTTTGTGGGTTTTCACTATCGAAAATTTAGTACAGAATTTTAAGCACAAATGTACGTCTACAGAGTCTTATTTTTATAAGCATCTGCTGGCCTCTGTCACATTGTTTTCAACCAAAACAGCTTTTTAGGGGCACTAAGTGACGTGGTTAGAGTCTTCAGGATAAACCAATAATGAGATTCCTTGGCCACTAGATTGTTATGTAAAATATTTGAAATTTGTAAGCTTTTCTGTTGGCCCATGAAACTCAATCATCACATTAATTTACATGCCAGCGGTATATTTGAAAGGCATACACGGGATAGGTGTTGACTTTTTAGAGGCGTGGTGGGTTACTTGTGCCTGGGTAACCCAGGTTCCCTTGGCTACTGTTGATAAGATGGAGACACACCTGGCTGGCCTCGTGGTAGAGCGCCCTTTGGCTGCCTCAGTGGGGAAGCCTAAGGTGGTAGAACGTTTTGGTCCACACTGTCATTGCACCCCATTCCTTCAGTGGCTTGAGGCTCAGAACCTCCCACTGTGCTGTGACCTGTGGAGAGGGGAGAACCCGCAATCCTCTTTGGCTGGGGATCCTGCCTTCTTCCCTGCTGTGTCTCAGATGGACAGGAGACAGTTCCACCCATTCCTTTGGCAGGGCTGAGTTCTCTGGGTAGGTCCACCTACTTAGTGAAAAAAGAACCTGCTTCTAGAACCATCCATCATACTAGAAAGCGGTCCTTCATCAGACAAGTACACCAACACAGGCATTGAGGAGGACTCTGTATGTGAAAATACGGCTATGGCTGGGCTGCTTGCTGCCTGGTGGCAGGTGGGCAGGGAGGAGCCTGTCGCCCGTACCTTCCACAGGCACTGCCTAAATGACCAGCGACCTCCCCAGCCCAGATGTGCACAGGGCATCACTGTTCTGTCCTCGGGACTGTGAGAAGGGGCTGGGCCATGTTTGTCAAACATGGAGACAGGGGCTGACTTAACTATTCCCTATTCCCCACTGGACATCCTTCCTATGAAGTAATTTTGAATACAGGTGGCTGAAGAACTTAACAGGATACTTTATACTGATGTTGACATGGGAGCCAGTTGGGGCTGAATGGCCACAGCAGGTTCAGTGGCCATCTTTTCACACCCTGGCACAAACCATCTCTGCTAGAGAGAGGCCATGGGGTGGGATGAACCATGGGGCTGAGCTAATATAGTATTTTTGCATTATCATCAGATACAGGAGAAGCATAACAGGACAGGAGGTGATGATGGAAGGGCAAATCTCTTAAGGTGGTGTCCTCCAGACAACGTTATAAGGCATTAAATATTTTGTGTGAAAGCAAGGCTTTGAGACATTCAGAGAAGGCGGTCACAGTGTCTATGAACTAGCTCCCCACTAACCAGGGGCACAGGCTCCACCCTATACGTGCTCCCCCAGGGGCTACTTTCCCTTAGGGTCTGAGTGCAAAGCTCTTACTCTTCACTGTCTTCTTCCTTTCAATCCCATTATTCCTAACACTGTATCTAACTCTAAGGAATTTGATTTTTGAATCACAACTCCAAAACCTCTTATTTGAAGGGTAATTTCAATTTATTAACAAACAAGAGAAAACAGCACAGAACGACTGTGAAAGACCAAGAAAGATGGATAGGGCTTCATTCTGCCCAACTCTCCTGCGCGTGCCAGTATAAACCTTCCCTGTGCCTCCCGGATGGTGCCCCTCAGATGGGGAGAGGCCAGTCCTGCAGGGGCAGGGGGAGCACAGTTCTTCTCTGCTTCTGCATGATGGGTGGGAAACTCTCTCTCCACTCTCCCCCTCCCCCCCCCAGAAAGTTTCCCTCTGCAGGACCATAAACCTGCACATCTAAGACCTAAAAAACATAGCTCTTGAAAAATATTTTTCCAATTTGCAGCTATACTTTTTCACACCTTTGGATTCATTTTTATTTTGTTTGAAACAGCACATCTAGAGACAAATTGCAAACCCAGCCCATTAGAAACTATTGTTCTTTTCTCTGCTGCTTAATAGTCTAGATCCAGGTTGATCCCTGCCACATGCCAAAGAGAAACTAGTAAGACCTTTTATTAGAGTTTTTAAAAGCATGAACATAATCTCATTTGATCCTCACAGCAGCCCTGGGAGGTAGGCAGGTGGGCATGATGGTTCCAGGATCCAGAGGACAAAATTGTAACTGATGGAGCTGGGAACCAAACCCATGTCCTCTGACCCCTGGTCCAGGGCTCCTTCCATTCCACAAGATGAACTGGGCCCACCTAGATGAGTAGGGCAGCTTTTCTGCTTAGAATAGATGAGATGTCCTTTGGGCTTGCAAACAAAGGAGATTTTAAGTACAGACCTCAGCAGAGAGCTTAGATGATAAACACACCTGAGCTCAATCTAGCATCAACATCAGAGGGATGAACAGGACAGAACATGGGCATCTTTGACAAGGGTTTCTTCTTGTTTTCCTGATTCTCACCTGGAACACGCTGGGTGCTGTAACATGAACGCAGCCAAGTCCAGGAGGAGGGAAGGCATTCAGAGGACTTTCTCATCTAGCAATTTATTGATTCCTTCACAAATCCTCTTGAGGTTGGGCCTACAGTCTCCATCCAGGCTATAAAGGGTGGAGAGGAACTCCATATCGGCAAAGTGGTTGAAGACATGGTTGATGCGTCCGTGGGTCCTGGGTGTCAGGTGTCTCTGTACCAGTTCATGCACCAGGTCCTTGCACTCATGTAGGAGCTTGGAGAGCACATTTCTATCGAAGGTGTATTCTACCTCATAGAAGCTGACGATTGTCATGGCCGTCTGGTTCAGTTTCTTCCTGAGCTTCTCCACGATAACAACCTCCTCCTGGCTGAACTGGTTGTTCCGGTAGAGGATCCCAATTTTGATCGCCACCTTGATTAAGTCTTTCATGATCTTGTGGGCTTCCTTCTTGTTGTGTGTGTGCTCTTTGGTGACTTTGTAGAGCTCATCAAAGATCTCGCTGCTGGTGTCATCAATCAGCATGTTGGCCACAGTTTTACTGGCTATTTTGCTCAGAATCTTCTTCTGGGCTTGAAGGGCAAGGTTCTTTGAACTAAAAACATCAGGACCTATGGTAAGAAAAGAAATAAAAGTTATAGAAATACTGGAACTGTTTATTATGTTTCTACAAGTGAAACATACTAACTTGAACTTACGTTCTTACAGCAAAAATTCATGCCTTCATACCCCACGACTCTTTTATAAAACCCCACCCCAGCCCAGTTACTCCACTGTGCTTGCCACATGACATGCTTGTTTACCCTCTTGAACCTTTTAAATTGTGCTCTTTCCTCTCTAGACGTGGTTTCCTCATGTCTGGGCCAAATCTCATGCTTTTGACTTACTTCATGCAAAAAGCCTCCTTGACTCTATTTGCTCACGAAGAACTCCCTCCAATGATTATTGCACAGGAAACTATTCAGTTTTGCAAATTTACGGGAGGAAATTGTTGCTTAATGATAAGAACGTAGCACCAATGCCAACCCCATTCTTAGGACAGACCTGGGTGGTTGATCATGGTAGTACTTTTTCTTTTTTTTTTTTTTTTTTTTTGCGGTACGCGGACCTCTCACTGTTGTAGCCTCTCCCGTTGCGGAGCACAGGCTCCGGACGCGCAGGCTCAGCGGCCATGGCTCACGGGCCCAGCCGCTCCACGGCATGTGGGATCTTCCCAAACTGGGACACGAACCCGTGTCCCATGCATCGGCAGGCAGACTCTCAACCACTGTGCCACCGGGGAAGCCCCATGGTAGTATTTTTTGACTGAGTCTCAGAATTCATATTTCATTGAGTCTAAGATGTATTTTTTTTCATGTTTGATATCTTGGAAATTGGGATGTGTCTTATAGTCACTGTTGCCAGGTGGTAGTTGTGCTGTGGTTGCATTACCTGTGTGTGCATCAGTTTACACAATAGGAGACAAATTTGGAATAAGTCATGAGTACTCTTGTGAGAAATGTTGCTCACCAATGTTCTCGATGGCACACAGAACCACATTCTGTGGGAAACACAGACATCAACAGTTCCAAGCAAAGATGCTTCAGCTGAGTACAGAAGTACCCTGAATGTGAGGAAGCTTAGAAAAACCAAAGCCACTTTATTTCCCCATTACTTTCCACTTTATGAACGAATGAGAACAATATATGTTAAAAGAAATAACACTATGTACAAGTAAGTCTAAAAGGGATCTTTCAATAAGTATAAAATAAAAATTCTAAGCAATAAGAAAGCAATCATTTGCAGTTTAATTGGCAGCATTTTCTTCTTTCTTTTTTTTTTTTTTTGTTTTTGCGGTACACGGGCCTCTCACTGTTGTGGCCTCTCCCGTTACGGAGCACAGGCTCTGGACACGCAGGCTCAGCAGCCATGGCTCACGGGCCCAGCCGCTCCGCGGCATGTGGGATCTTCCCGGACCGGGGCACGAACCCGTGTCCCCTTCATCGGCAGGCGGACTCTCAACCACTGCGCCACCAGGGAAGCCCCGCATTTTCTTCTTTCTTAAGAGCATAAAAGGCATCTTATAATCGATGGTGTCTTAGATTGGATCGAATACTCCATGAAGTCACCAGTTAGCTGGAACTGATATTTGACAGTCAGCAGTACGTGTGTGCATCGTTCTTATCTTCCCAAGGACATTCAAGTTGCTGGAGGACAGAGACAACATCTCCTATAGCACCTAGCTCAGTTCTGGGCACAGGGATGGAATGGTGTTTGTTAAGTTAAATGCCAGAGTAATACTGCAGAAGAATAAATTTTCCTTTGAGAACTGACGGCTCTAGGATCCCTAGAGTTTTTATCCAGTGCTCTGTGGCAACATGGAAGTGACAGGCAGCATGGATAGACAGGTGACCACACATACTAGCTTTTGCAATCCTGTCTGGCCCCTCCCCAACTCATATCCCACCCCCTCTGCCCACCTCAGACCCATCACCTCAGTGGAATGCTATTAATCCCTGGTGCTTAGGTCTTGCAGACACGGACTCAGTAAACACTTAAACACAATTCAGACATACGCCCCAGCACTTCCTCCACCCGCATATCCCCTCATGGACTGACTCCCTCCCTCCCAGCCCAGCCTTGCTCCCTGGCCCTGGGTCTTTCCAGGACAGCTACTTCTGCTAACGGACCTCTTCCAGCTATAAGCTGCAGAGTCATGGCCTTGAGTGGGGTCACTAAAGTGGGATCAGCAGAACTAAAGCAGCAGGCACCACGGGTCTCCCACAGCCCCAGGAAGCTCTCTCCTAAAAGTCTGAGACCATAGACTCTTTAAGCAACTTTGGAGCAAGTGACCCTGATACAGCCAGGATTTTCCCTTCAGCTTCAGTGTGAAGGGAATAAACAGTAATTCTTGACTTTTCCTTACGGTGAGATTTATGCCCTTCCAGAGTTTGAGACAAATAATATTTCTACCCGGTCTGATCATCTACCATGGTCACCCAGACCTTTGTGTAAATAACCTTTGTTCCAAAAACATCAAATTCCTCCTCCCCAAACAAATATTTACCAGCATTAAGGATGTTTAAAAGATTGTGCTGTATGCTTTGAAATCAGTTCCACATGAGAAACTTAAAGACTTTGAGCTTTGGCCCCGTCACCAAAATAAGTATATGCCTCCTTAGGTGATTATTTTGATGGGAACAATGGAATCTAGATGGATCTGTTCTGCAATATCAAAAAATGAGTCATTTCTTCCGGGGCACGAACCCGTGTCCCCTTCATCGGCAGGCGGACTCTCAACCACTGCGCCACCAGGGAAGCCCCGCATTTTCTTCTTTCTTAAGAGCATAAAAGGCATCTTATAATCGATGGTGTCTTAGATTGGATCGAATACTCCATGAAGTCACCAGTTAGCTGGAACTGATATTTGACAGTCAGCAGTACGTGTGTGCATCGTTCTTATCTTCCCAAGGACATTCAAGTTGCTGGAGGACAGAGACAACATCTCCTATAGCACCTAGCTCAGTTCTGGGCACAGGGATGGAATGGTGTTTGTTAAGTTAAATGCCAGAGTAATACTGCAGAAGAATAAATTTTCCTTTGAGAACTGACGGCTCTAGGATCCCTAGAGTTTTTATCCAGTGCTCTGTGGCAACATGGAAGTGACAGGCAGCATGGATAGACAGGTGACCACACATACTAGCTTTTGCAATCCTGTCTGGCCCCTCCCCAACTCATATCCCACCCCCTCTGCCCACCTCAGACCCATCACCTCAGTGGAATGCTATTAATCCCTGGTGCTTAGGTCTTGCAGACACGGACTCAGTAAACACTTAAACACAATTCAGACATACGCCCCAGCACTTCCTCCACCCGCATATCCCCTCATGGACTGACTCCCTCCCTCCCAGCCCAGCCTTGCTCCCTGGCCCTGGGTCTTTCCAGGACAGCTACTTCTGCTAACGGACCTCTTCCAGCTATAAGCTGCAGAGTCATGGCCTTGAGTGGGGTCACTAAAGTGGGATCAGCAGAACTAAAGCAGCAGGCACCACGGGTCTCCCACAGCCCCAGGAAGCTCTCTCCTAAAAGTCTGAGACCATAGACTCTTTAAGCAACTTTGGAGCAAGTGACCCTGATACAGCCAGGATTTTCCCTTCAGCTTCAGTGTGAAGGGAATAAACAGTAATTCTTGACTTTTCCTTACGGTGAGATTTATGCCCTTCCAGAGTTTGAGACAAATAATATTTCTACCCGGTCTGATCATCTACCATGGTCACCCAGACCTTTGTGTAAATAACCTTTGTTCCAAAAACATCAAATTCCTCCTCCCCAAACAAATATTTACCAGCATTAAGGATGTTTAAAAGATTGTGCTGTATGCTTTGAAATCAGTTCCACATGAGAAACTTAAAGACTTTGAGCTTTGGCCCCGTCACCAAAATAAGTATATGCCTCCTTAGGTGATTATTTTGATGGGAACAATGGAATCTAGATGGATCTGTTCTGCAATATCAAAAAATGAGTCATTTCTTTGTAGACACAACTCCTAAAAACTGCTCGAGAAGAAGGTATTTGAAGAGGCTCTCTGGAAATGCAGTACACACGCATTTACACAGAAGCAACAGATCAACTGTGTGTCCACTGGAATGTAAGCTCTGTGGGAGCAGGGATTTGTGTCCAAGCCCCACTGGACGTCCCAAGCCCAGGGCATTGGTGGCCCACGGCAGCTGTTGTTGAATGAAGAAGCACTGGCTCTGTGCCAGGCACTTCATGGCTTTAACCCCAAGAGCTGGGTGAAGCTGGTGTTTTTAACCAAGGCTTCCCTGCTAGCCGGATTCCAAACCCTGCTCTTTTCACCACCAGCATTCCCAAAAGTTATCTCCAGAGCAGTGGTCATCACACCTTTTGCTCTTACAGCCCCATAAGAATATTGAAAAGCTAGTACCTCCTTGCATATTTTTAAACTTGACAGCAAGTATTTTTCACCTTATGGTTAAATAGTTAGAATTTCTAAGTAGATTAAACGTCTAGATATTGTAAATATTGATACTTTAAAATCAATGTGTTAAATTATTCTTTTAAAAGTGTCCAATGTACATACCACAAACCACAGTGATACAACATCCATTATTGTCCATTTAAAAATGACAGGAGCAAGCTCTCCTTTAAAAATTAGAGCTGCTGCCATAAACAAGACAAAAAGACAACCCTCAGAATGGGAGAAAATATTTGCAAATGAAGCAACTGATAAAGGATTAATCTCCAAAATATACAAGCAGCTCATGCAGCTCAATGTCAAAAAAACAAACAACCCAATCCAAAAATGGGCAGAAGACCTAAATAGACATTTCTCCAAAGAAGATACACAGATTGCCAACAAACACATGAAAGGATGCTCAACATCACTAATCATTAGAGAAATGCAAATCAAAACTACAATGAGATATCACCTCACACCGGTCAGAATGGCCCTCATCGAAAAATCTACATACAATAAATGCGGGAGAGGGTGTGAAGAAAAGGAACCCTCTTGCACTGTTGGTGGGAATGTAAACTGATACAGCCACTATGGAGAACAGTATGGATGTTCCTGAAAAAACTAAAAATAGAACTACGATACGACCCAGCAATC